GAGTTAGCATGTGTAGCATCTCATTTGTCCAGCTTTGAACCTGTGCCCGGTTTCACTCCTTCCTGAAGACCTTTTGGAACAGGGCAGGGCGTTTTCAAGACCTTCCTTAGAAGCACGTAGGAACTTAACCTGTACATATCCCTGATCATACACTGGTGAAGGACAGCTGAATGTAGCCTTTACCTGCTGCCAAATGAATCTATGGCCTGTCCAGCTGAGAATGATGGGCAGCATTGAAATGAAAATAATACTCTTGTAAAGTTGCCTAAGAAAATTTAAGATGTTCTCCTCTCCTCCGTCCCTCAGGCAGGAAGACTGGAACTTCGTATGATCCTATGCACCGAAGTCCTTTATACTGTGGTGCTGAAAGTACAAGCCTTTGGGAACTGAAGAAGGTACGGCATTCTTATCTGGGTGTTACTGTGTTTCTTAGTGTGGCCCTTGTATTAAGAGAGGAAAATGAACTTGGTTATTCTTGGAGTAGCTCCCTGGATAACATAACAGAAAGTTTAAAGATGATACGTTGTTCAGCTTTAAGCTTGTATATGTTCCTTACAATGCTGATATTCTGGAGTAGGGAATAAGAACTTTTAAGTGGAGATTTGGACAATAATAGTATTTCTTGAGTTTTGGATCTTAATTTTGATCACTAAAGCTTTTTAGTGTTGCATTAAATAAAATTGTAAGTGAAAATGTATTTATTTAACGCAAACAAAAGATTAGAACTAGATGTTCTTCAGTTGTTCAAGGGCAGAGCACATCAGCCTTGCACTACTATGTGTATCTGCATGTTATTTGATGAGTTACAGAGTGGTCTTATGACATAGTGGTGTTGTCAAGAGTCTGATATGTCAACGTGAGTAATGACTGCATTTATTTTTTTAAGTAGAAATAAATGATTCATGTTTTTCAGCTTTCTGAACATTTTCATCCATCTGTGGCCCTATTTGCAAAAACAATTCTAGAAGTAAGTAGTCTTTAACTTTAAGGTTTGATTTTTTCATGGTATGTGTCTTCTGCTGTTAGAAAAAATACATTATAAAGTCTCCTTGCACTCTGGGTAGATTGCAGCTCTGCAGAACTCTACTGTAAACTCAAATGCTAAGCTTTCATGGAATTAAAGTATTTTGTGCAAAGAAGACTGCTCACAAAAGTTCTAACTTTGTAGAAATGTGGGTATTATATGATTCTTAAAGCTTTATTAGAGTTTTTATATATCTTTTAATGTGACTTTTTTTTTTTTAAATGTGCAGAACCCTAATGTAGGAACAAATTCTTTTTTTAACACTGTTGGGGTACCATGCCCAAAATACTCAAACCTGCACAAATACATATTTTAAATATTTATTTTCCATTTGAATGTGTGGTGTCCAAATGACGCTGAGTATTAACTGCTATTAGCAAGTACATTGCAAGGCAGTTCATTGCTGAAACAAAGCAAAGGAGGTGTCTTTTATTTCAGAAAATATAGAAATTGCAACAACAAGAACCAGATCAGGGTTAAGTGATGTAATATCCCCAAGTCTTTTTCTTTTTAAACTATGGTTTAATGTTATTCTTGAACTGATTGACTCTTCTGCGTTTAGATGCTGTGTTTTGAAAACGAAGACCTTAATGTTATTTGGCTTTTCGCTTCCTTCAGGGAAATCACATTCAATACTCGGGGGACCCTTTGCAGGATTTCACATTAATGAGATTTTTGGATCGCTTTGTGTACAGAAATCCCAAACTCAGTAAAGGAAAAGGTATGCACTTCTCTGTATATATTAGCATGTGATCTTGATTATAGATGCTGTCCAAATTCTCATTCTCTCAGATTGCCCTTGCCAAGTAATCAGAGTGCATGTGGTGCAAGAGGAGTGGGATCAGTCTTCAGGGCTGCAAGAGAAATGTCTGCAGCCAGAACCAGCTGACAGTCACGTACTGCTGACCCTCACGCTCGCAGTGCAGAACTGCTGACTTTGCAGGAATAAGCAAGTGATAGGGGAATATAAAGACTGCGGAAAGGTTGAGGTTGGAAAGGACCTCTGGAGCTCATAGGCTCCAGAGAGGGCCACCTAGAGCGAGACCATCTAGAACAGACTGTTTAGATGGCTTTTGAATGTCTCCAAGAGTGGAAACTCCACTGCCTCTCTGAGCAACCTGTGCCAGTGCACAGTTGCCTTCACAGTGAAAACATGTTTCCTGATGTTCAGATGGAGTCTCCTGTGTTTCAGTTTGTGCCCGTCACCTCTTGCCCCGTCACGGGACACCACTGATAAGTACCTGGCTCTTCTTTACACCCTCCCTTCAGGTATTTATATGCATTGATGAGAACCCCCTGAGCCTTATCTTCTCCAGGCTGAACAATCATAGCTCTCTCACACTTTGCCCACAGGAGAGATGCTCCAGTCCAGTCCCTTCACCAGCTTAGTGACACTTTGCTTGACTTTCTCCAATATGCTCATATCTGCCTTATTCTGGGGAGCCCAGACCTGGACACAGTGCTCCAGATGTGGTCTAATAAGTGCCAGGAATACTGTCAGTCTTCTTTGCTGCAGGGGCACAGTGCTGGCTCACAGTCAGCTGTGTGTCCACCAGGACTACCGGGGTATTTTCAGCCAAGCCGCTTTCCAGCTGGGCAGCCCCCAGCATGTACTGATCACTGGGTTTGTTCCTCCTTTAGTGCAGGACTTTGCACTTCCCCTTGTTGAACTGCAGGAGGTTCCCCATTTGTCCAGCCTCTTGAAGTCATATGGATGGCAGCACAATGAACTGGTGTAGCAGCCACTCCTCACATTTTTGTATCAATAGTAATAAAGTAATTTCTTTCTGATTTATATTATGATACAGAAAACACCAGCAGTGTGGTAATGCAGCCAAAGAAGAAGCAGTTTATGAAAGATATGCATAATCTTGCAGGTAAGTCAGCTGCTTTTCAGTTAAGATTATGACTAAAAAATTCTGGGTTGGTTGTTGTAGACATGTTATCTGCACTGTCTATGCTGTTTGTTGTAGCAATAGAAGAGAGTTGTGTCCGTCAGAAGTACAGTGGTGGTGCCTGATGTTCAGGATCAGGTCTCATCTTCTTGTAAGGGTGTATGGAATCTCCACAGCTGAAATTTTGGATCATTGAATCATTCTAAGAACAAATGATGTAGGGAAAGGCAGTTATCCTATAGCCATTTTTACTCTATTATGATTGAAAAATTACTTAAAATCTCAGCTAATTGATCTGTATAATTATTTAAATCACATTAAGCTCTTCTATTAAATGATATGGATTACTCCATACAATGCCACAGCTGCAGCTGCAGCTATTGTTATGATTAGTGTAAGGTACCTTTGGCACTGTTATTTTGCTGAGAGTCTTCCTGCTTCCAGAAAGAAGCTGCCTTTTCCCTAGTCCCACTGTTTCCAATAATTAAGAGCAGGATTTGGTGGTAAGAACCAGCAGTTAAAAAAAATAAGTGTAAACCATCATTAAAACCTGCAGCTTGAGGACAGAAGAGGTATCATCTTCTGTGGTAGAGCCTCTGTAACATTCCCAGGGATGTGCTTTCCTCTGACTTTGGGTCTGTTGTGTAACACAGAGATTTTAGTTATACAGATTAGTTGACGTACCTTTATGGCTGTTAAAACTTAAAGTAGGAATTTTAGCCTAGAATGCATTTGAAGGTACAGTTTATTTGTCACATTCTTTAACTTATTCTGAATTGAAGGAGCAGACTGAACATTTAGAATTTGAGGAATTTAAATTTTCTACAAATGAAACACTTGATAACAAAAATTTGGATATGTTAATATGCAATGTGCAATTGTTGCATGTAGCTGATCTCTGCTGGGGTTTAGAGAGCTGAGATTGCAAATCCTCTGGTACCTTCTACTGGTCATTTGAAGTATTTCTGTGAGTGTGTGGATCTGGTTTCACAAACTTGGACCTTTGTCACTTAGAAAATATTATAGTATATTCTCACTGAGATAATTAGTACCTCTTTTTCCTTTGATTTACTTCTGAGGAGGAGGAGGAGGGAAGGGGAACGTATGAGGGTAAAAATCTTCTCCACAGGGAATCCTAGCTGGTCTGCTGTTGCAGTGTCATATTTTGCCACAGTTCCCCAAAAATGGAGGCAAGTTGAGGCTCGATCCCTTCCTCAGTGTGCTCAGCTGGTGCACGGTCCTGCCCTGCAGCTGCTGACAAGCATTTCTACTGCCAGGAGTGATGGGTAGAAGCAGTTCCAGCGTTTTAGTGCATGACAGCAAGTTCATCTTACTTCCTACTTTTTTTTCCCGTTTTTGTTTTAAATGCATTCCTGCTGTAGGTGATTGTAACCCCCCCCTTGCTGATACATAACTTAGAACCTGGTTAGGGCTTTGCCTCTTCTGTTTTTCCATGGGGTCTGTTCCCACTGAAGTATCAGTATATACACTGAGAACTATTTGAAGAGGTTTTGAATGAGCTTCACTTTATTTAACAGATGACCCTGGGTATCTGCGTACTTCTGTCTGTGCATGCTGTTTAACCTCTTAAAAGAGTAACAATCATTTCAACTTGAAGTAAAATCAGTTCTTTTTTTGTTTTTGCAGTCAACAGTAAGGAATTCCGTGCCAAAGATGAAAGCAAAATCCCAGTGGATGAAGTGTTCTTCCACAGGTAATGAAATGCTTGTGAAATGTTCATTTTAAGTGTTGGTTTTTTACTGCAATGCCATTAAAACCCACTACATTTTCAAGTATTCTCTGGTATTTCAAGTATTTGCAAATTTTGATTGATTTGAGTGACTTATGATGATAGTGCTTTTCTGGGATGTAATTTTGACATTTGTCGAAAGTGATTAGGAAAGAATATCGCCTATGAACAAAGGCAGTCAGGGCTTGTAGTCTAAAATTAAGTAAACATCTTGTGGGTTGTAGTTCTTATGCATTAGAAGTATATTTAAAGAAAGCTGGAATAAACCTTGTTTACGTTATTAGCATCAAAGCTTATTAGAATAGAACAAAGCAAAAAAAGTCAAAGGAGCTACTTTTCAGAGTATTTATTTTTTTATTACTCATAGTTCTGTTTCTCTGAATTTCCTTTCAGAGTATGATACACAAATGCAGTTATAGCACTAAAATTGGAGTGATACACATTTGGCAAAGACTTATTTTTATTAGATCAAAATACTGGTTACCTGTGAGTGTCTCCTTAGGAAATTAGTGTTTGAATTAACTTCATTTATTTTTTTTTAATTCACTTAGAGTGTTTTTGTTTGGTTGGTTTGTTTTGTTTAATATATTCATTGCTGTAGGGACCTTTAAACATTTTTGAACTGTCAGGTTAATGGAACTTACTAATTTTAATTAATTGATATTATAATATTGAGGAATATCTTATTAATAAATAGTGGTTTTAATTTCGAGATTAAAGGAGAGCAGCTTAAAAATGTGCCCCTCTCTGAAAAGTTAACGGTACTGTTGCAATGAAGATTACTGAAACTGAGATTACAGATTTAAAGTCACCTGTACAAAGTACTCTTTTGTATATGATCAAAATTGCCTTCTGTGTTTGGTAGTTCTTCAACATAAAATGAAGGTGAAAAAGTGCTTTAAAATAGCTGACAGCAGGTAAAACTGTGCACCCAAAAGAAAAGGGCTATCGGAGAAAATGTAATAAAACTTGAGGGTCAATGTCTTTTATACTTTTCCCCAATTATATTCAAGTTGCACTTCATCCCTTCTTCATTACTGGTCTACAGCAAATTTTTACATCTTTCTTGTGCCCTTTCATGTTAAAAATAACTTCTGGCACCTTTGGCCAGTGAAATTTCATTGTTTTAAATCTTACAGTAGTGACGGACTGTTTGAAAAACAAAGGAAATATAAATCTCTTGATTTTAGGTGTGTTTGAAATCATCACAGTTTTCAACTGGCAGCATACACAGGAAACAATCTGCAGGTGTTTTTTTTTTAAAGTTATCATAAAGATCATCACCTGTAATATTGTGTCTGAGAGCTATACATTATTTCAGGTTTTATTCAAAGTTTGATAAGAAGAGAGAGAAACAAAGGCGTCAGGATGATGAAGAAAGTGTGGAAGATGTAGATGATGATGAATTTGAAAGAGTATTGGGTAAGGCTGTGTTCTTCCTTGCAGTAACTATCCCAGTATTTCCTGCTTTTTCAGATTATTAGTTTATCCTTTTTGTAGTTCATATTGCATAAAAGAACAAGATACAGGAATATGGAAGTGGAAGAAAACTGGCTTTCCAGTTGCCATTCTATGGTACTGCAGCCAGCAGCTCCTATGATCCATTGTGCAAGCCAACTGGATGGCCACCTTATAAAAGAGGTCTTGCTCACACCACTCCAGTAGTCAACTTGTTTGAATGATTGGAAATCATCTGATTTTGAGCTTAAGCTCATGAGTGACAGTTCATGCTTTTTTTTTCTTTTCCTAATGTAGTCCGAGTAACTTTTTCTAGCAGCATGTAACATTTGCTTCCATTTTTTTCTTTGCTGCTTGGCCTTTTTCAATCTTGCTTACAGTTTCTCTCATAGTTTCTAACATATTTTATGAGGTTATTTGTTCAGTAAGGTCCTTGGTGTACTTCTGCAGTAGTCTTAGCTCTTCTTGTATCATGTACTTTGTTTGCTTTGGAATTGGTGTGTGATTTGTTCCAGAATCTCAATTTCCTTGTGTACCACAAAACATCTCATTTTATTATTTCATATTTTACTTACACAGTAATATATGCATTTTGAGAAAAGAAAATGCAGTTAGCTCTCCATAACTGTTTCATACAGTATTTTTAGAGAATTCTGAATTCTCATAGCAGGGTTCTTAGTGACTCAATTAATAGAGTCTTTGTTATGACAAGAATCTGTTAATAATTGCATTTGTCTTTGTACTGTTAGTATCTCTAATGAAAATTTGCTTCATATATTCAGGACCCTCTAATGTTAGTATTTACTTTTTGAAACAGAACAGCTGTAATTTTTCAGATTATTTTTTTCATTTCCTTTTTTATATAGCAAATTATTCCAAAGTGAATCCTATGATAGGAGCTTTCAACCTCTAGTCTGCTTGCTTTTCTTAAGAAATTATAGTGGATACTTCTGACCTGAAAATGAACATACAGATTAGCTGACAGGACATTTGCTTGGGTATCTTAATTTAGTTTCTGTTCTATCTGACTTGGTGCAAGTGTTTGAGACTTCTGATATCCCACCTGCTGACTAAGTTTGTATCACGGGCCAGTTGTCTGTCTGTCTGTGTCTGTCTGCTTCCCATGTCATCCAGTTCTGGTGGTAATTTACATCCTGGATAAAATAAAACTTCCATTACTTTTCAAAGAAAAGTATTTTTCTCAGAAAAAGTTCATTTAGCTTTAGGTAACTATTTTGTGGATTTTTTTTACTACAGGAGTATGAACCTTCGGTATCACTGGTGCAGATCATATAAACCGTTCAGGAACATGATACCTAAACATTAGGTATTTTGCAATGATAGAATCATAGAATGGCTTGGATTACGTGAGACCTTAAAGATTATCTAGTTCCAACCACCCTGCCATGGGCAGGGACAGCTTCCACTAGACCAGGTTACTCAAAGCCCTATTCAATGTGGCCTTGAACACTGCCAGGGATGGGGCATCCACACATTCTCTGGGCAGCCTGTCCCAGTGCCTCACTACCCTCACAGTAAAGAATTCTTTGCTAATATCTAATCTAAACTTACCTCTTTCAGTTTGAAGCCTTTCCCCCTTGTCCTGTCACTACATGCTCTTGTCAAAAGTCTCTCCCCAGCTCTCTTGTAGCCCCTTTTAGGTAGTGGCAGGCCACAATAAGGTCACTCCAAAGCCTTCTCTTCTCCAGGCTGCATAATCCCAACTCTCTCAACCTGTCTTCACAGGAGAGGTTCTCCAGCAATCTAGTGATCTTTCTGGCCCTCCTCTGGACTTGCTCCAACAGGTCTATGTACTTGTTGGACACAATGACTTAATTCATATTTCTTTGCTTGCTTTGTAGTAATAATTTATTTTCTCCCTAGATACCTTTGAAGCTGCTGATAATGCCGTTATTGACCAGGATGACCTTGATTTTGCTGGGTAAGACTTCAAATTGGTTCTTACATCTCGTTTCAGTAGAGATGTGCAAAACTGGATAGACCTTTTTCAGAAAGACTCAGACTATCACCTTGCAAAAAAGGCAGTAGCAGTTGAACACTGAGTAATTCTGTTTTTCTGCGTGTCCCATAATGGATCATAATGATCCTGTGGTGCTTACGGTTTGCTGGCTTGACACGTGAGAGACCTGTAGTATATTATTTATACAATGGAGTGACCCAGTAAGCAAGGTAAAATCTTGTTTTTCATTGTCTCAGGTTTCTCTTTGAGAGAAGAAGCAGTATGAGGCATAATGGTTCTACTGCTTTAAGGACTGGTTCTAACCAACACAGTAAATAAACATTGTGGAATACAGGGTCACAGAGCTCAGTTCTCAGGAAGTTAGCAGCTTCATTAGTTATAGAGTCATTTAGGTTGGAAAGGACCTTTAAGATTATAAAGACCAATCGTAAATTATTAAGAAGCCTCTTTTTTTACTTGAAGTATCTACAATGCAGCTTTTGAATGGGCACAGAAACTTTTCCTTGAGGTGACAGAAGAATTGAAGTCTAAACTCCTAGTGAAATCTGAAAATTTTTATGATCTAGAGTGGTGTTTAGTAGAGCAGTTTGTGTGTGTTACAAACAAAGACTTTCTGAAAAGGAGCAAAGACAGAATACTGCAGCTGACATTTCTGCTAATTTCAGAATAGTATTCTCTCTATAACTTTTTAAAATGGTTGACTTTTATAATACAGTTCTCTATACTAATGTTGAGAACATAACCTGAGTGCATAATACATATACCTTAGGTCTCAGCCTCCATTTACAGTAGTTTGCAATGATGTTGAACTTTTCTACATGGTGTTTACCAGTAGGTAGATGTCACCTAGCTCTAAACAGCATTTTGCTGGATGAAGTGCTAAGCTTGTTACATCTTTCTTTAGTAATATAAAAAAGAAAACCAAAGGCAGTAAGAAAGGCAAAAGCAATGAAGAATCTGGTGCTGACTGGGAGGATTCTGATGATGAAGATGAATTCAGTGATCTCGATGATGAGGAAGTCTCCTTAGGAAGTATGGAGGAAGACTTTGAAGACGATATGGATGAAGAAGGAGGTGTATTTATGGATGTGTCTGATGATGGTAACAACCTAGGTAAAGTACCATTTATTACAAAAAACAGGAAAAAAAAAGCCATAAAAATATGTTATCTAATACGTAATTACACACGTAAATTCTGATTTAGTTACCTAGGTGGGGAGTTTGGATTTTAAGCAAAGAAATGACAGGTCCTTTGCTAGACAATGAAGTCTTAAGAGAAATATTTCCTGACAGTCTCCTGGGCAAGAGTGGGATTTAGGCATCTGTGTATAAAAACTTGCAAATGAGACATGTTTCTTTCATTCTGAAAACACTGGCAGTAACAAAAGTAGCTTTCTACACAAATAACTGGCTACAGTAGGAGAAATATTAAAAGATCTCAAAGAGAAAAATAAAAGAATCTCGTAATTAGTAATTTTCAAATTTCTTCGGAATCTTAATGTTGATTGTTTTTTAGATGAGGTAACTTTTATTTAAAATGCTGTCTCACAAGTAACAGCTTACTCCTCTAATACAGCTATGCACCCAAATTTTTATTACCACTATAATAACTGATTCTTGCACCTGCATGGTTTTATTTTTTCAACTGAAAAGCAGAGTTTACACAGAATACAGTGTAAGTGGCTGGAAAAGCACAGATTAATGGAATATTTGAATGACTAACTAAAGGCTACAGAAAGATGATTCAGGGTAGAGGAGATAAACTGTTCATATAGCTGTTAACAGATTAATCTTTTTTCTGTCAGATCCAAACAAGAACAAGCAATTGAAGTCTGTGAGTAAAAAGGGCAAGAGAAAGAAGGATGTGAATTTTGAGGGATCACTGAAAGGTAAGAAAACACTGCCATAATTTCCATCTGATAAAGCTCAGTACAAATACAGAGTCTAAAAAACTGTGGAATTGGAGGGTTTTGCTACAGTAGATTATCTACAGTTTTGGATCTGGATTCAGATTTGAATAAACCGTAAATAAAAAGGAAGTTGTCCTCAAGACAGCATGGCTAATGCAGAGCGACAATTTGCTGTTGAAGGAAGGGAGTTGAAGGAGGAACTTCTTTAGAAGGATGGAGTCGTTCTGGTGGTTTGTGTATCTGTTACATCTGATGCACGGATTTGTGCTATTCAGTTCTCAGAAACTTTTCTCTATTTTTTTTAGGGGAGGTGGAGAATAAAGGTTTCTAACACAGCTATTTTAGATGGTCTCATTAAATAAATTTTAAAAATTAAAAACATGGCAACACTTTGTTTTAGTGTCTCTGTGAACTTGAAATTCTGTCTCATATTTTGTTTAAAGGATCAAACCGAGTAAAGAAGAAAAAACTCCAAGATGCTGGTATACTGGCATCTGCAGAAGAGGTGAGTGTGACTGGTGCTTAGCAAAAGGTGATCAAGCATTTTACCTGTTTCTTTGTAACAAAATACAAAATTTTCTCTCTTTAAAGTTTGGCTATCTGCTGGATGAAAATGCCGGGTCCAAGTTTGACAATATTGGAATGAACGCCATGGCCAACAGAGATAATGCAAGTAAGTGCGTGCTGCAAACAGCAGATAGTTGTTATGCTGGTTTACTTCTTTCCCTTCAGATTCTGTACTTGAAAAGATGGACCATCTTCAACTGAAATACACAGTCAGAAACCACACAGTTGGCACAGTTGCTCAACGTCAGAAAGACATGACGTAGCTTCCTTCAGCTGCTCCTAATGCCAGTATTTCTAGCATTAGTAACATACAAATCAGTGTCTAAAACTTTGAGATGGTAGGATTTGTTTTGTGAAGCGAAAAAACCTCAAAATTTTCTCAAAAAAAAAAATGTTCACTTGCACTTTATTTAAACATTTATAAATACAGTAGCCAAGTTTTAACTTCTACATGATTTATCTGTATGCCACATCACGGTAAGACGTATCCATCGGCTCCTTATTTCTCACCTTCCCTCCTACAGATGTCAAACAGATCCAGTGGGAAATAGAGCGTGACAAGTGGCTTCACAACAGGGACGTGAAAAGCATCATCAAGAGGAAGAAACAGTTCAGGCACAGAGGGCTGAAAAACAAGTACAAACGCAAGAAATCAAGAAGATGAACTGGACATTTTGATGTGGACATTTTAAAAATAATTATTCAAAACCAGTTTTTTAATTAATCCCACATTTTTCTTACTTCAGTTCTTGCTGCTTAACCACGTCATTTGGTCATTCTCCCTTATGCCATGAATTCCAGACCACTCATTGGATTTGTAATAAACTGAAAAATAGGAAAATCTCTGTCAGCTCTAAGTTAGACATACCTGAAGAAGAGCCACTTTGTGGCTAGTTTTATTGGATATACACCCCTCTAGTTCCAAGGTCTCTGTCCAAAAGCCTGACACTCCAGCCATGCCTATGCAAAACAATAAACATTTCGGCAGTGTCTCCTGGAGTATTAAGCAGTAGTAACATTGGTTTTATACATAGAGATGCAATGGAAGCTTCAGCCATCCTTCTGAAGCCAACAGCTGCAAACCTACCTTCCAGAATTGATGGAAACCTCTTCTGCATTGTGTATCTGAAATCTGACAAGAAAGGTAAATCACAGTTACTTTCCCAAAATACTTTAAGGTAATTAAATGCACTGTTTTTCTAAGTGGATTAGTTTTATCTAAATTTGTTTGAGCTCTTTAATTACAGCCACCACTATGATCTGAATTTATTTTTTAATATCATATCACAGACTGTATTGAGGTTACTTGTACGTGCAGCCCCATCATCAGTGTTTTCTGAGCTTCCTCACAATTGTGATAACCAACTCCAAGCTACAGATACACAGGAAGCTGAATGCCTCTCATAGACAGACATGCAAATCAAAACTGGGAAAACTGCTTTGTTCCCTTACGCAGCTTTAGGTATTCAATGAATCCTTCTGTGGGCTGCTCTGGCAACTCACTAGAAAATTATGATAGCTTTATGCTATTCTAAGGATTTACAGCAGCTCATAGAAGGATCTTATCCATTCTATTGCTAGAAAAAAGAAAGCAGTAAAAGCCTCACTCTGAGCTCACTGAGCTGTTAGATGAGCTCACTACACCTTACAGAACTGCAATTTAAGAAAATCTACCTAAGCATATAAAAATTAGGATCTAGAACTGAAAAGCAGGGGAAGATAGAACTGTGAATGCTCAGCACCAAGTTACCACGACAGGTTGAAACATCTGTTCTCCATGGGTTTGTTATATATTTCTTTAATAAAAATGCAAAGAAAAATAGCCAAACAGCCAGATGTCATCTGAATCTCAAAAAACAAATGCAAATTGATGTAGTGCAGGCAAAGCTCAGCTTGAACTTTGCATAAAGACCATAATACTGTTGAAATGGGTGGACTCTTACCTGCCTGGCCAAAGCAACAGCTGCCTTTTGGCAGCAGGACAGGCACTCTTTTACTGCAGGGACACAAGTCTGTCAAGGTACTGCTGCGCCCTCCAGAGCCCTGAATGCAAAATAAGGCCATTGCTCTGCAGAGCGAAGATCCTTGCAGTAACTAAGCTGGTGCTTGGCTTATTTCTGTGCTCCCTAGGCATGGGGGTGTAAGTCTGAGAGACCTGAGGGACTGAAGCTAAATAATCTGGAAGACAATGCTGGCTGCCTCGTGCCAGCCGGGTCTGTCCTCAGCCTGGGAAATGTCAAATCCCGGACACCCAGACACAGGCAGGGCGTCCCTTCATGGGCTCAACACCAAATGCCTGAAGCAGGACCAATCAACTCCTGCCTCATTTGCGGACGGCCTCTGTCCTTTTTAAGTCCTTAAATGAGTCCCTGCTGTTACTGTAAGGAGGAGGAGGATTCGGCTTTGCTCCTGGTGCGGTCGCGTGCTGCCCCCCAAAGGATTCCCCGCGGGCTCGGTTTTGTAAAAACTAAAATTGCTGCTGGTTCTTCAAGACCTGTCCTCAGGGGTCCGCCCAGCAAGCCACTCCTGTGCACCTGCACTCACACGAGCCGGACTCCTGACCCCAAACCGGCAGGTTTTCCTTAAAAAGCCCGGGCGGTGCGCGGTTGCTCCCGCGGCGGCCGCCGCGTGGAGGAGCCTCCCCTGCCCGCCTCCCCCTCCCCGCCCCGGGGGTGCGACCCCCGCCCGCCCCGCCGCACCTTGGCTGCGGTCCATGGCGCGGTAGAGCAGGAGGGCGCCGAGCAGCCCCGCCGCCTCCAGCAGCAGCAGCCCCTTCACGACGCGCCGCGCCATGGCCGGGGCTCAGCGCCTTCCGCCGCCGCCCCCGGTAGCGCCGCTGAGGCGCCGCCCCGCGCCTCCCGCCCGGCCGGCCGCGACATGGCCGCCGAGGGGCTGCGGGGGCGGCGGCCGGCGGGGGTCGGAAAATGCGGGATATGTAAAAATTTTCTTAAGACAGGAAGGCTGTCCCCTGACGTTTGATCTTCGTATACTTTCAGGCTTAATCAAAAAGAAAGTAGATTTAATTCGTAAAGCAGGTAGCGGCTAACAGCCTCTAAGCGATGTCCATGTTGTCCGCGAAAATTGGATTCGTTACCCAGTGTGAAAAAGGCAATAATTACACACTGGAGAGAGACATTGATTATTTATGTCAGAGTTGCACAAGCCCAGGTGCTCCGGTAGTATTTCATAAATCAAGCACACTGACTATCAAAGCTTTTCACTATTTATACATTTTAGCAAACAAAGGAATTAGTGTACATTGGCTACAGGTTACGTAGTTCTGTTATTAACTAGTATTCTATCTTCCACTTGTTAATGATTCTGTTGCTTCCCACGCTAACTAACGTACATGCTCAGTCTTTCTCTTCTGGGTTGGTGGGTTTCTTGGATCAGTGGTCCATGAGATGATGGTCACAATCTGCCCCTGCTGGAATTACCTTTTACCCGGTTGGAGCGATATCAGCACAGTTGCTGAGTGGTCTTTATTAGTTTTTTCCTCATCTTGAGACTTCTGCCAAATGTCGTGGCCTGTAAATTCTGCGTTCTTTGTGTCCTTTATCAGTGGTACATCCTTCTTCCCAAGCTTTGGGGTCTGAGATCACTGAAGGATGTCAAGCCCCAAACTTTAACAAGGCAATTCTACCAACAGGTAATTTGTTTTTTGAACACGTGGACATCACTTAAAACTTTTGCTTGTTAGCTACTCTCTGTTTCATGGGTTGAATCTCCCTTCTTGTTTATTAGGCTTGAAAGTATATGAAGATCAAACATCAAAAACATCCTTTCTTAAGAAAATTTTGCATATTCCACAATTTGCAACACCCAGGTGTTAGAAAGACTAGTTATTTGTTGATAGAATTGCCGTGTTAAGGTTTAGGGTTCAACATCTTTCAATGATCTCAGATCAAGGTGGACTAATTAGTATGAGAAGTGAGAGAATCATTAATCAATAGATGATAGAATACTGATTAATAAGAGAACTAGGTAACTTGTAGCCAATGAACATTAATGCCTTTGTTTGCTAAAATGTATAAATAGTCAAAAGTTTTGACGGTGGTTGTGCAGGTTCTGTCACCCAGCACCCCTTTCTGCACAGAACTGTAAATAAATAAAATACCTCGACTCTTCATGTGAATTGGCCTCTTGCACACTGGGGGAAAGAACCTATTTTGGGACAATGTTCTGGCTGCTGGCAGCAGGTCCCACTCACCACCGCCTTTCCCTGCTGCCTGGGGGTACCCGCTGTCCTCACCTCCCTGTTTCAGGCAACACATGAGCAGGCAACACAGCAAAGGGGCTGGGCCAGGTCTTGTTACTCCATGTTGAGGGTCCTGAGCAGGTGCCCCAGTTGGGTGAGGGAGCAGCCCTGCACGGTAGCACTGCACTTCTGCATCATCAGCTGGTGGAGGAGCAGCTCAGATCCTTCTGGGAGCCAGCACTGGTCTGTTTGTGTGTTTTCTTCCAGGTGAAGGCACAGTGAGATGCATCAGGCTCACAGCTGTTAAAAAGGGATCCTAGTTTTATCATGGAGATGTGAAAAAAATGCCAGTGCCATACAAGATCTCAGTATTTAATTATTTTTACCATGAAAAAGGGCATTAGTGCAGACAAGCTCCCACAGAGAGGTATTCAGAACCTCAAATGGCAGCATTTTTTCCCTCTCAGTAGTGTTCTTTCTGTTTTATAGTTTTGTTTTCATTGTTTTTTAGTATTCATATTGCTCTTAACTCATATTATGGGACTGAATGTATTGCCAAAAAAAAAGCTCTTCAGATTTTTCTTAATAGGGACTTTATTTTCTTTGTAAGATGCTTTCCCCCCCCCCTTTAATGTTTTGTAAGATAAGATACAATATTTTTGCTGCTCATTCTTACGGGGTGATTCATTTTCCAAGTCTATTTTCCCTGGTGTCTGAGCTTGCAGGTATTGCTTTCACTCTGAGGGATTTCTTAGTAAAGTAATTCCTACTCTGAGGATTTTAAGTGGACAGGATCAACCCAAGCATCAGAAGCCTAGGGTTGTTGGAGAAAACATGGACCTAGGAAAGGAATTAATTGCATGGGCAAATAAAAAAGGAGGGAGCTGGCACAAAATGTGAAACGTACATCTTTGTTTTAAGGAGCCCATAATTCCTTTGGGCTTGGGACCAGACTTCTGCTGGACCCTATAAAGACCTGAAAGGTCATTTGTTGTATATTGGCACTGGCTTTTATTTCTCACAGACTTCAGACATGATGCTGATTGCCTCTGGTTCAGTAATTCAGTAAACCTTTTGTGCTCAGGGAGAGGAAGCAGCAGATAAAGAAAGAGATCTCACACTGTTAATATTGGCCAGTTTGTGGTAGGTTAGCAGGTGGAAATTTTACCAAAGACCACTGCTGGTTATTCAGTAGGAAAAGGAGTACACAACTCCCTGGTTTTCTGAGGAATACAGCACCTTCTTACCTGGCAGGCCCTGGTAGAAAAGCCTGTGTGAGGGGTCTCACAGAAGAAATAGGAAAGCAGGAAGGAGAGAAAATTATACATTTGTGCAGTGCGGCGTAGTTACAATCTGCAGGTAAATATTTTGGATTTTTCTCCCATTTGGATATTTGCTTTTATATTTTCAAACCGTGCTAAATAGATTTCTTGCCCTAATTTCCTATAGCTTGCAAATTGTGGGGAAAAAAGGCAAGACAAAAGGGTAAAGAATGAAAAGGAAAGATTACCTGCCCCAATCTGAAACCAGAAATTTATGGGCTCCTTCTTGCCCCTTGATGTGACACTCAGACTCACCAAGCCATAGTGTCACCAGGCAGTAAATAAAAATGTCTCTGCAGGTCTCTTTCCCTCTTGAATCTGGGAGCCTGGAGTCTGGCTTCCTCTACCAGCTTCATGGGTGTTTTCTGTGCAGGGCTCAAACTCTTTGGCAGCATGAACGTGGCTGATGTTCATAGAGCCACTCACATAGAGCCCATTCAAAAGCTTTTTTCTTAAAGCTTTAATATTGCCCTCGTTCATTTTACTCATTAAGTATTATGAAGGTTAAATTACAGTAACGTCTCATTATATTAAAGGTTTCCCCCAGCACAGGTGTGTGTAGTAGAGAGGAAAACTGATGCAAATAACTATTTGTGAGGTAGGGGTGAAGGACAGTGGAGCTCTAGGAGTCAGAACTTGTGAGAGATGGATCACATGATTGAGAAACCAGTAAGAGGATTTAGAGATTAGGAAATTTAGGTTTATCAGTTGTAACTTGTCATTTAAAATAAAATTTGTTTTTGTGCACATCTGGGCAGATGTTGGCACAGATTTGGAAACTCAGTGATTTTGTCTCTGTACATAAATGGGAGAGTGATTTAAATGATATGCATCATACAATATCATATATAAATATGATATTGGGTGGTTTATAAATGTGATATATGTATTATTATGTGTACACATTGTATATACATTACTGTATAAATGACATCTATCTGCTGCTTCCATCCAAGCATCCTGAGGCACTTCATGTAAGATAGGGTGGAATTTATTTCCGCCTGGGAATAACTTTCCACTGAAAGCATGAGGTTAAAGCTGCTTGCACTGTGTGTTCCATGTTAGTGCATCTGGCAGCTGTGTTCACAGGGGATTTGCCGCAGGAGGCAGTAGCAGCTCCGCAGCTCCATCTTGGTGAGCTCCATGGGAAGCCCACAAGGACACAGGGAAGGTGCTGCAGGTCAAGGTGAACACACTGTTCCCTTGCTCTCTCCTGCCAGCAATCATCATAGCATCAGTGGGGCAAATGTGATTCATGGAAACCTTGGGGAAGCTGACTCCATAGCACAGCTCCGGGAGCTGGCCACAGGCTTAGGCTGGAGTGGGATGGGGTGGGGGGGAGAATTTACTGCAAGATCCCTTCCAAAGGGTGAGGGGTGGGGAGGATGCAGGTGTCCTATGGGTAAAAGCTCTTCTAGCACTTGTTCTGGCGTGTGCTTTATGGAGACAGTCACAGGCACGACTGAGGACAAGCACCGGTAGTGCCATCAAATAGGTGACACCTTTTTGTCCTTGACCCAGGGCAGCAGAGAGAGGCAAACACTTCCCTCAGCAGAGGGAGTGAAGCTTCTTGCTCATTCCTTCCTTTTCCTACCCAGAACCTTCCCATGTTTCTCTCTGTAAAAGACAGGAAAGCTCCCTTTATTGTCTGTCACTAATTGTTTTTATGAATATATGAAAAAAATGTAAAGTGCGTTGTTGAATCAGTTCTGCCCCCAGTGCTTTCCAAATACTAGCTATTAGTGAGCCAGGAAGGTCACAGTTAAGAAACTGTCAAGAATCTTGTTAGTGGAAAACATTATTTTGTTTAGAATCATTTGAGTGCTTTAGTGTTATTTGTCATCCAATGAGTATTATGCTGAATTAAACCACATAATTAGGAGGCTCTGAGATCTTATATAAACCTCTGATATGTTTTATTTTGTTCTTTGGGTTTCTTGGTGCAGGCGTGAAATGGCTTATCCAGCTTTTAAGTGATTTAATATTTACAACTATTCAGAGTATGCCTGTAAGTGCAGAACTACAGTTTATTGAATATGGAGATCAGGTAAATATCAGGTTAGTGAAAAAAAACTGTCGAACCTCTAAAAATCTGTTGTTTTCTCTTTCCTGCACTCCCACACACAAGTTATTAAAATGAAGTCATGCAGCAAGTAAAGATATTTCTCCTCAGAGGAGAAAAAAGATAATCTTGGATGACTAATGCCTTTTGATTAGGGGCTGTTTCACACAGGCGGCTCTCACAAATCATTGCCGCACCCGTGTAATAAACCTGTTCCCACTTACGGTTCTGATTAATTCTAAAGAAGATGAAATAGATTCCATCTCCAAGGATTTTGGTAACACATCTGAATTGTTATTGCCTCCCCAAGTCTATTTTCAAGAACAAAGCTAAGGTGGGCTTTTTTCTTTTTCCAAGAACAAGCCTCATCTCTCTCACAGCACCAGTGTGCAAGAGTAATTTTTGGGCCATATCGTTTTCTTGCACCCAAACTGGTGGCACTGGGGCAAAGCTACTTGGAGACAGTGGCAGTCTGTTAATGCCTGGGCTGTCTTAGCACCCCTACAATTTACAGTAGCCATAGGAGTGCTGTAGTTAACATAAACAAGGGCAGATGTAGAGCTGTTGCAGTGCTCTGAAATTGATGGGGTGTCATGATTTTCTTTTTTATGCTACTCTTTTTTGTGCATGACTGTGGTGGAAATGAATGTGGCAGCAGTATCTCAGGGACATTGGCTGTCTCCTTGCAAAGAGTCACGTGGTTAAAACTTCAGTATTTCTGATACTCGGTCACTGAATGGTGGCAGATACATAGCACTTACAAGATGCACCACAGATGAAGGAAATAATTGATTAAGGGAGGGAGGTTTTTTCCGTGTATTATTGGTATTTTTTCCTGGATGAGGCAGGAAAAAATAAAACATGTCTAACAAAAATATGTAATGTGTTTAACGTGTTTTCAGAAGTGTTTATGCTTCTCTGAGGACTACGGTCTCTTAAAGATTTCAAGAACCCTAATGCCATACTTTGAAAAAATCAGAGATGATTGTAACAGCTGTGGTTTTCCAAAGGAGCTTTTCCTAGCAGGGGGTTGGCAAATGGCTCCTTACTGTTTGCCAGGTCTGAGTTAGTTATGGGATAGTATTCAAGGACAATACTACAGTATTTCCAGTTACTTCTTTTTACGACATAGGCAAACCTTAGAAGTGATAACAAGGTCTTTATTATAATTATGTTATGATTTTGTTCTCCATGTCTTAACTAATAAAATATTTTATAGCCCCCAGTATGTTATTGGTTGCAGAATGTTTGGTTGTACTCATTTTGGTTGCCAGGGTAAATAAGTGATCTAAATTTGTTGACTTCTTTTCTCCTATTCCAGATAGTAGTGTTGTTTTAAAACTCTAAAGATACAGCTGTTTCTTTCATTTTGCCATTTCCACAACAATGTGACAAGCATCCCCAGTTACAGCTCCTGGAATGAGTTCTCAGGATTAGTGAAAGAGAATGGTATTGTTACAGTTACTGATTGTAGCTGCAAAAGCAGCAGAAAAAAATATTTAAAAAGCATGTAGATGGGACCAGTGGGAAAACAGCTGTGCTGTAATTAGTTTACTGATGGTCATACGTCATGATAAAGGAGGCAGCTGAATGCCAGAAGGGGGAGAATGTCCAAAAGATGCTTTGCTTCTGGGTATTTTGCTCTTCCAGGCAAGGGTGAGGGAGTTGCATGGCAGCTGGACAATGGCGTTGGGTCAACATTCTGACATTTAGTGATGGAGAAAATGTCATAGATCTGAAGTGTTAATGAAATGGCAGTTTACTGTGTTTACTCTTTCTGAACATGAGGCCAAAAACCTCATTAGCAACCCAAATTTTAGATTTAGACTGATGTCAGGCTTTGTCTTTTAGGAGATGGTTGCATGACAACATAGTAACAGAAGGGAAGCACATAGTGAGATTCATATTTATGTGTGGAAACCATTTACCTACAGAAGTTCAGAGGAAGTCTCTGTCATTCTGTTACACGGTACAGTGTACCATGGAAAGGACGGGCTGTTCCGTTTGTCTGTACTGACAGGCAACAGAAGACAATTTGTCAGTCAGAGAGAAGAAAGTATGAAAAGAAGGTCACACTGATGGTTTTTTCTCTTCTTTACAGTTGGCTGGGGATCCTGTTTTGATCATGGAGTCACCTGGAACAAACACATTGAGGATGAGAATACTATGGTCATAATATGAAGACCTGAAAGAGGTAAAGCAGATGCTGTGTGCTGACAGGAAAAACACATCTGAATCCATTCCTTGAAATCTGCTGAAATGAAGAGGAAATGTCATGGGTTTCTGAAAGAGCAAAATCAAGTTGATTTTAGCAACAGGTTGAGTTTGGCTGTACAAAAGGAGAGCTCCAATGCAACACAGAAAACATCCTGTGAAGGAAAATTTATATTGTCTGTAGATGATGACAATGCACATCCCAAGTGGGTAACTCTCTTTTTTAGAGGAAGAATATTGCATGTCCCATTTTCACTGTACTACTTTCAGAACCTGACTGCCAGTGTAAAGCAGATAGCTGAATTCTTTGGATTCTCCCCAACAACTGAACAGGTCCAGGCCATTGCAGAAAGGGACACTTTGCAGGCAGTGAGAGGTAAGGCTCGGGAGATTTCTGATGCTGTTGGCTTGATTCTTTTCTGCCAAGGTAAATTCGTTTGTATTTTACCAGAGTGGTGAATGGTAGATCTTTATCTTGGGCAGACAGGAATTTGGATCAATAGATGGTTAATCTTTATGTATAATTTTCAAGGCTAGGTGTTGTTTAAGAAACACTGATTGTACTTCAGGAACCTCTCACTTATTTCATCACAAGGGCCTATGTCATTCAGTAAAGCCCTGTATAATATGATTAGCATAAGAGCCCTACAAGTAGCAAACCCTTTAGTCAAGGTGTGCACTAAGCACCAACTAAAACAAAGAATAATTTTATTTTGGCTTCTGTGAGTACTGGGGATAGCCTGGCACTTGGTCTACAGGATGCCTCCACAGATTTTTCTTGGGTTTTCTAAATAACCCTTGTGATTGCTTATCATGTATTGATTGCACAATCAACACGTGGAATCCACACACTCCAGAGTGATCTGTGTCTTTTAGCCATGGATCAGGATAGAATCTCAGACAGCCTTCGACTGTGGGCTCTCCAAAATCTGGATTAGAGGTAAACTGCAGCTTAGGGCAGTGTCTGGTTGCAGCTCACAAGGCTTTTGAAGTTAAAAGCCCCATCTTTGAACTTTCTGGATTGGTTTCACAGCTGCTGGTCACCTTTTATAGTCTTCTGCAGCTGTGCAAAGCGCATGTCAAACTCATGAAGGCAGAACAGTAGCTTCCTGTGGTCGCTTTATGTTTACATGCTGTTGAGGACACCAAACATAAGGCAAACATATGAGTGTATTCTTGGGTCAGATATTTTTTTCTTACAGGAAAAAAATTAAAAAAAAATGGATTATCGCAAAGTATGATAATAAGAGAGAAAAGTTAGTCTTTTGTTTGAAATTATACTTTTTGGTCCTTAGAGTCAAGGGTAATAATTTACTTGTCTTCATTTTCCAGGTGTTTTTGGAGACTGGAAGATTCTTTTCACTGAAGCTCTGAACAAGGATGCCAAATTCTAAGTGTGCTTAGAAGGAATTAAACTGGGAGTGAAGTATAAATATGATGGCTATTGTAAGGCCTGAACCTCCTTTACATAAAAAAACCCCACTAATGTTCAGGCTGCTTTTCATTCACTTCTGTTTCAAAACAGAAACCAGGACAATATCCTATTTAAAAATTTTGAATATATATGCAATATGCAAACCTATTTCTGCTGGCCTAACTCAAGAAAGCAATCCTTGCCTGTGCAGTTAGTATCACTGAGGTCACTGGATTCTCTTAAATGACTTGTAGCTCTTTGACCTCCCTTGTTTTTAACACTGATTTTTAGCTTTAATTTCTTGTTACCCAGTAGAATGCTGTGTGAAATATATATGTGGTAATTAAACATGCTGAAATCACTGGAAATGTGTTCTGTATGTTGGAAGTGATTTTCCAAGGGATTTTTTAAAACAATCATGAAGTATCACTTTGATTCTTAATTTCTAAGTTCATAGGATTCATATATAATTTTAAATTCTAAGTTCATAGTGTAAAATGAAATTTCAGAAAGTTTTGTAGTTGTCTTTTGCTACTTTCTGTGTGCTGACAAATGTAAGAGAAAGGTAAAGGAACTCAGTGGTGAAAATTTTCTCCCCATTTCAGCAATATTATTTTTCTTTCCTCTGATAGTGTGAGGTCACTGGAAATGGAGCCTTTTCCTGGGTTGTCTGGGTTTGCCTGTTTTTGCTTGGGTTACTTTAAACCTAACTGTAGTCCATATGATCTCATAGCTAGGATGTGGATTTTTCCTGGATGTCTGTCTGGGAGCTTTGAAGTGTCACAGTCCGAAACAGAATGACTGTCCTTTGGTGAACCCAGGAGACCAGTGTGCACAAGACAGTTTAACACTGAATGGTCTCTGCCCTTTTAGGCTGAAGCTTTCCCTTGGGACGCTGGTTAAACACCAGTCTTTGGCAGCTGGTTGTTTTCCCCACCAGAGATATTTCTTTATCTCCAAAAATTAGGAATACAAGGGAAAAAGTACTCAGAGAAAGAATATGTGTGTAATGGACACACAGTTGCTAATTTAACCAGCAGAGAAGGTTACAGTCTTCTCATAGTTTGTCAGATTCTCTTTCATAAATAATTGCTTCTGGTAGGTGGCTTGGCAGAAGGACTGTTTGTTACAGATATATTGGGTAAAAAATGTGCCTTAGGCTGAAAATTCAAGTGTTGGGTACTTGAGGTGTTGATAAAAATGGACTCTGTGAGACCTTCTGCTGCACACTTTGTTAGCTGATGGTAAACACAACAAACTCTCAGCCATTCACTGCTGATGAGAATCCCCTTCTAAAAGTTTGCCAGTGATGGGAATGATTAAACAGCTTAACTTCAGTTCATAGTTTGGAAATCTTGTCATTTTTTATTTAAGTCCTTACAAAATCTTGTTTTTCTGTCTTTCCTGGCACATTACCTTTTAATTTTCTTAATAATCTTTTTATGTCAACAGATGCCTGGACTTGTATGCTAATGTGTCTTTTTTTGTTAAAGTCCTAACACTGATCTGAATTTTGGCTGAATGATCACCTTTGGTGGGGATTAGCACCTTCTGTTTTACTTGTAACACACTGCAGAGCTTGGCAGTGTACACTGGAAGTGTTGAAATGAGACTGGTTAGTGATTGTTACAAACGTTAATGTCAGGATTGATGCAAAGGAGAGAAACAGAACAGCACCATTATGAATGAGAGCACACTGTATCAGTGCTGTGTCTGAGTGCATTGATAGAGCACTCTCTTAAAATATCATTTATGTTCAGATGTTTATGGTCATAGATACAATTGTTCTGTACTGCTATTGCACTTTGTAATAGATGTAGATTGGATACTATGAAGAATTACCCAATAAAATATTCAGTTTGCATCTGAGTAGAACAATTTTCATATGATTATTTGGCTTCTGCAAAAACTTTAGAGGCTTGAGGAAGACAGAAAATTAGTCTTTGACTTTGCTCAAAACATGAGACAGTCAGGAACTGTCAGAAAATGAAAAGAGGCTGGGAAACTGATGTCTTGGGAGGCTTGTGTACTTGTGAATAATATAAGTTTATTGACATATGCTTGTGGGGTCTCCAGTGAGTTCCCTGCTGTTTTGCATTTTACAAACTAGTGAAGGCATTTTCATTACTAGAACACTCATTAGCATTCCCCCAGCAGGTAAATAAGTCATAGCTTCATTATTGTGTATTTCTGTTATATCCAAGGCAATGTATATATATGCAGAGGAAAAAAAGAAATACTAGATAATCTTAGGCATTAAACGTATGTCCCAATAAATGTTTTAAAAACTCAAACCAAGAAACAACCAAAAATGGAGCACTTACAATCTTTTGTCTTTCTGATTTTGTTTCTCACAGGCAGTGATGGAAACAAGTTCTGCAGATGTGGTGAGACCTCTTGCCAGTGAGTGGGGGAGGCCCTGGGGTCTGGTCTGCCCATGCCTGGGGGAGTTTGGGCATGGCCCAGTGGATGCTGCCTCTGACAGGCACCACTGAATAGTCACCCAGTTACACAGGGCAGCCCTGCCTCACAAGGGTGGGGCGTTAACGGGGATTGAAGGAGCAGCAGTGTAGGCTGGGCTTCCCTGCACCTCCGTCCCTCCAATATCAGGTGTGGATGTCTTGTGGTGTCATGCCAGGGCCCTCACCATGCCTGGGGGAGGGAGCATCAGGAAAACCCCTCTCACCTCACCTCAGGAGCAGTGGGGCAGTGGGAAAGCTCCATGGCTGCCACAGCCCACTGGCCTGGGGCTCTCCTACTCTCTTGGGCTGTCCAGAGTTGTTATTCTATGTCTGAAAAGTACACCTTAGCTCTCGGACCTGGGACAAACGCAGTAGGGAGTTAATTCCCCTCCCGGTGACCGAGGGTGCCAGCCTTCCTGGGGTGAGCAGTGGTTGCAAAGTGGTGGTAAGTGTGGTAGGTCCTCCATGCTGTCTGAATCCTGAACTCATGAGGATTTTCTAGCAGTAAAGCCTGGCTGTGGTCTTACCAGAGAGAAAAAAACATGGTGTGGGAGAATGTGGGAGAATGGAAGCACACAAAACAAGTGGGTGCAGGATGGAGATCAGCTCTGAAGGTCTTATTTGTTTGATGAGTATGTTCCCCATATGACTGGAGATTATAATTTGGAGCAGAAAGCCTCAGGAAAGCCTCCTCCACAGTGGTGCCGCTGGGAAGTGTGCGTGTGCTGCAGAGTCTCAGCAGAGCAACAAATGTGTCAGAGTGCTGGGGAGTGCTCAGACTCCTGATGTACCTGGAGCAGAGTATTCATGGTCAGGACTAAACAGGGCAGTAAACAATCTTCCGTGGTTATCAAATCCAAATGTCTCTGTGGCACTTAATTGCTTTTGCAGGCCATTTTATGCCTTTCCAGCCCCTGTGCCCTGACTGTTGTCATTTAAAATCAGCAATCTGAAGCGCAAGAAGCAGAGTGTGTATTTTATACATGGGTGATTTCACAGTTTCTGGGCAGTGGAGGACAAGCCCTCCAGGGCTCTCTCATGTTGTATTTTTCACAGTGGATGTTTTGAATGGTTTACGATTGAGGCCATACAAGTGCTTTATCCACAAATGAAATGGGTTCCGGAAGCCCAAGGGCACCAAAAGAGATGAAAAATGCATTAATATAGAAAGACAACTATGTAATGCAGTAGAATAAGTATCATTATTAACTGCTGTAAATATAAGGCTGTCTGCTGGCATGACAGACTCTCCAGAATAAAAATAGCAGAAGTGGCCTGAGTTTGTTTCCGAAGGAAAACTGCTCAAAGTCCATAAGTAAATCAAAGTCACTGAGGGTAAAAGAAAGAGCTAATACAGTGTTAGCTTGGGTACAGCTATGCTGCAGTCTTTCAGAAGCAGAGGTACATGCTGATGCACCAAGGAAGTTGTATCAAAGGAGGGAATATGGCAAATCATGTTCATTGAGTAAGGAGCAGTTCAGCTGGAATCAAACCAAATACATCATCTCATTGCAATAGAATGAACATAAGTACAGAATAAATTAAAAGTAAGAAACCAAAAATAAAAAGCCAAAACTTAGGCCAAGATCTCTTTGGGCAAATTGAGCCACTCTTACGTACTGGCACATGGATTACATTTACACTCATTTGTATCAATGTCCATGAAGTCTTGTTTCAAGATGCATTGGCTTCAAGGACCAAATCCTGCTCACTGCCTCTGTAACCCACTCATGGCAGCACGTCACTCCCTGAAGGTCCCACTGCACCCCACAGCTGCCCTGCTGTCCCCTGAGGCAATGCCAGGAATGGTGTCCCAGGCATGGGGGCTGCTGGGATACTACAGCAATTTTATGGTGAACTTAAAGAGAGGAAAGGAGCTTGAAAAGAAATACATTGAATGTTTGCTGTGTAGTTTGCATGTAGACATGAAGAAGCTCCAAGCTAGCCAGGCAGGAGTCAGCTCCAGCCTGGGAGCTGCGTAGTCATGATTTCTGCAGTCCCCAGGACTCACATTAGCAAGAACCACAGGCCAAGTTTATTAACTAACATAGTCCCTGGGCTACTTGTGTGCTGTGTCTTGGAAAGATGGTATAGACATTGACAAAAAAGGATCTAAGAAAAGATTTGCATAGATAAAATGAGATGTGTTTATTTAAAATAGCCCCACAAATCATCTGCCAGAGGGGCTGTTTTGGAGGCAGAGCACATACTAATTACTGGAGGCTGAAGGGAGAGGTGAATGCCAAAGAAGTGCTTTCAGGCTCTGCACTCCAGCTCTGGAGAGGGGGAAGGTGGTTTTTCAGATGTGCTACATTCTGCAGATTTTTCTAGCAGTTAGCTGCTATGGCGTCTGCCTTCCCTCTGCCACTCCCATTCAGTGTGCAGGGCACACTGTGCAGGCATCTGTGATGCTCTAATTCTCCTCATTCACTGTATGGAGGACATCACCTGGGGGACATCAACTTGCCAGCCTGGGTTGCTTGGTTTGTAGATTGGCTGTTCTCAAGTTGGTCTCTCTGAGGGGGCTGTCAGAGGATGTGCATGGTTTGTTTAGATCTTTGGTTAATGGCTCTGCATAGCAGGTAGCTCTAGTGTGTTTACTCTGGGGTGCTGTAGTTATGGCCCTACCCAAGGAAGTTATCCTGACAGACTCGTGGGATGGGGAGAGTGCATTGGCTTTCACTGACAAGCTTGTGCATTATTCTCTGAGCTCTGGAGGATGTACGCCACATCTGTCTTCTCCTTGCTACTTTTCAGTGCTATCACAGTCTTTCCACATTGCTTCTGTTTTCACCAAAAGCCCAGATTGACTAAAGTTCTCATTGACTGTGAAAAATTAATTCTTTGGTCTCCTCACACTGTCTGGCAAGGAATGTGTGGCAAGGGGTATGCCGCGTTGAGAGCTGGGATCCTGACATCCTGGTATCCTGACATCCTGGTATCCTGGCAT